CCCCCGCACACGGTGCAGGCTCCCGAGGCTCCTAGAGAACAACGGGCCGAACAACGGGCCTTTGCTCGGATGCAACTCCTAGGGTCACACATTCAGGTTGTTTCCAGTTCTTTGTAAGAAAGGCCACTGTTTTCCATTTGCAAAGCATCTACGCTGTGTGCAAACCAACAATGCTGTTCAATTCCTTTAGAAGGTTCCAGAATGACACGATTAGAGAACCATGAGAAGCCAACCGTTGTTAGAGAAACCCCCTCCATCCTCACTGGGCCTGGGGCTAAGACACCCCAGATGCCCCCTGTCATCTTCAGCCACCCACCAAGAAGGTTCCTGGTCACCCCTGAACACAACAGACCCAAAGGACAAGGCGTGCTGGATGCAGATGAGCTGGAAGGAGAGGACGGGGCTCTTGTCCTGAGTTTCTGATCCGGGCTCTACCCCTCTACCACCTACCTGCCTCATGTGCCGAAGGGATTTAAAGACAGAGAGCTTTCGGGGCTGCCAGTTAGCACAGTCTGAGAGCAAGGACGAATCCGCTGGGCGCTTGGTCAGCTCCCGCCCCTCGGCCCCCTCCGGCAAGACAGGGGCTTTCTCCTCCTCCTCAGCCTCAGAGTTGCCCCAGCTTTCTGATTCCTCTTCCAAGTCTGCGAGACAGACAACAAATTCAGTTACAAAATGTGCGTCCCTGGATTCCTTCGTTCTCTGGATGCAAGTCTTTGCACACGACCACTTCAGCCCAAGGCATCTCGTGGTTAAACCGGCCGGCCAGAAGGCTACTGATTTCTGGTTCGGACCGGCTGTCTACACTACCTGCTGCCACCGGAGTCCTGGGGTGGGCCAGGAGTGTTCAGTCTGCTATGTTCTGTCCACTGCCAGTTGGAAAAGTCAAGTCAGCGATAAGGACGCTAACTGTGTGGGCGCTCCCCTAAAGATGTCCACACATTCTCTCCTTTAATCCTCTCGCCTGCCCTGGGTCAGTACTGCTCTCCCCGTCTTACAGAAAGGAGTATCTGCTATCCCAATTCATCGCCACGACAACCCCAGGAATGCAGCATCCTCAGTGCACAGCTCGAGTGAAGGGGTCTTGCTGTGCGCACAGAACACACACATCTTGGAGCCCAGAGCTGAAGGCAGGTCTGTACAGGCTACAGCGTGTGCTCTGAACCCCTATGCACACCCTGTGACCAAAATACGACCCAAGACGAGCCAGTGAGCACTGCACGCCTGCAATCCTCTCCCCGGACGCACTCGGCTCTCCGTGCAAATAAATCTCACCAGCAGACTGCCCTTGCCACCGTCACTAACCTAGAAACGTGTCATCGCTCCGATAACTGGTTCCGGGCCGACCATACCGTGAGGGCGCGGAAGTGGACCGCACTTCTGTCTTCTCCGAGCGAGCCCTGCCCTTGATGAACCCGCCCGCCCTCCCCTTCGCAGGGAAGCCTGCTCAGGTGCAGGTCACCGGACGACAGGAACAAGCTCCAAACGGCTCCAGCTTGTTAAGGTCAATCATTTGCAGAAAGCAGCATGTTGTAACAGAGGACAAACAAGACGCATCGTGAGTCTCGTTCACCCCGCCCCACATTTGAGATCCTGGACCTATGTCACTGAAAATCCAACCATCTCCAAAAGAAAAGCAGACTCTCAGACTCCCCTGGGCAGTTACTTAGAACACCCAGATGTGGAGATATGACTGCAAACCTGGGGAGGGCGGCCCAGTTACCAGGAGGCTTGGGAACCACCGCCCAGATGAAAACCTCGGGTCGAACTGAAGGACATTTCACTGTTGAAGAGCAGAGAGCAGGTCCCCATCCAGACAGGCCGAGTAAGTGCTTCTTGTACGACAGGGACACAAAAGCCTCACTCAACCCACCTCTCCAGAGCAACAGCCCCAGGGGTGGTCTTTCCCAACCTGCCTGGACAGACCCTTACACGTGACTGTCAAGGAAGATGAGGCAGAAAATCACAATAAAACCACGAAGAGCAAAGGGCCAGCTTTTGTAGACGTGGCTCCTGGGGCCCCCTCCGCCAGCTCTCTCTGCTGGGATGGAGGAGTGGGGAGCTGAGCGCGGGCCGACCCCAGGCCACCGCCGGCAGAGGCTCCCAGCACGGGCACCTCCCAGCTCACCCGCCAGCTGCTCCATCTGGACCAAGGTGTCCTCAGTGGGTGCGCCTTCCAGGAGCTTCTCGGTCAGCCGGCTGCCGCACGCCTTCAGGAGCCTGGGAAACACAGTGCCACCTATGCGGTGTTCTCGCCAAAAGGAAAACTATACCCAAAGCCAATCAACCCTCCTGAGCTAACGAATGGTTAACAGAAAACATGGGCATAAAAGAATGAGTTGAGTACCACCACGAGGATTCAATCAGCCAGAGGGGTTCCTACAGGACGCACATCCCAGGCCTCTTAACAAAAGGCAGGGAGGTTGGGGCAGAGGCACACGAGGCGCTGCTCTAGACTAAGAGGCCTGGCACGATCCGCGCCCTGTGTGGTGGTGCGTTGGTCCCAATGCCAGGGTCAACTCTGAGGCAAAGCAGGAAAAGTGAACATGGATTGGGCTGGATGATGCTAAGCGATGAGTCCACTTTGTTGCATGGGATAATGGGTTTATGGGTGACGTGATACAACTAAGATTTGCTTTAAAAAACATTCCAGAAAAAAAAAAAAGTGAAGGACAGATGAAAAAGCAGTAAAATGTTGCTAACTGCTAAAGTAGGAGGGTGTGAAGTTCCTTGTAGTATTATACTTTGGGTCTGTCTGAAAATTTTCCAAATTAAAATAATTTCTAGGGGCTTCCCTGGCGGCGCAGTGGTTGAGAGTCCGCCTGCCGATGCAGGGGACACGGGTTCGTGCCCCGGTCCGGGAGGATCCCACATGCCACGGAGCGGCTGGGCCCGTGAGCCATGGCCGCTGAGCCTGCGCGTCCGGAGCCTGTGCTCCGCAACGGGAGAGGCCACAGCAGTGAGAGGCCCGCGTAACGCAAAAAAATAATACTAATAATAATTTCTAAGAGACAAGAGGAACTGTCTGCCGGGTGGGGGAGACAAGTATTTTTCTCTTTAGTTTGCAGGTTCTCAGAAGCTGCACTCAAGGATTACATGTGAGGAACGTCACCCACACCAGGACCTGATTTAGGTGATGCTGCACAGGAATGAGAATCTGGGGGGTCTTTGGAAGGAACATATCCTGCAGTGGGAGGCACAGAAACAACCTGTGGCCGGAGGACAGACTGTGGTGGTTTCTAAGTGTGTCCACAAATCTGTCGATACTCCTCCCTTCCGGCGGCGGGGCCCGGTCCTCCCCTCCCGCCTAGGCTGAGCTACCTCTAACGGCCAGGTGCAGGCAGGACCCGTGCGCTGCTGAGGCTGGGTCGTGAGAGCCAGCAGAGCCCACCTCGCTCTCCCCGGATCACCCACACGACCGTGGCGAGGAGCAGAGGCCTCCCGCCCACGGCCAGACCGACCTGCCAGCCCCGAGGGAGCCCAGCCTTCACACGACAGCAGCTCCGCCTGAGGACCAGGGCCAGAATGGCCCAGCTCAGCCCGTGTCTGAGTCCTGACTCACAAGTGCTGTGCGAGACAAGCACTCACTGCTGCTCACAAAAAGGGAGACCACTGGTCTTGGTCTAGGAACTTCACCTTAAAGCTATCGCTGGGAAGGGAGCTCCGCCTTAACGCGACTTCCGTGCACTCAGAGGCGAGGACGGAACCCAGTTCAGGACTCACGTGTCACAGCACAGACCTGGCAGCAACTGTCCCCCCCCAACCTGGGCACAGTCCGGCCAATGCCCCAGCGGCCACGAGAAGACCGAGTCCGGTTACCAGGCGAAGGAGGTGTGCAGGCACGCCCACAAGCTGTCATCGTTCGTCAAGGACGTCAGCGAGCGGGCAGCATTGCCGTTCCTTTGGTGCAGGAACGGTGTGAAAGCAGTGTTCATCCTCTGGGCACGCTGTGGGCACCCAAACTGCTCCGCCTCAAACACCTGACACACAAGCGGAAGGGGAAAGACCCTTAACGACAAAACCAGCCAGCAGCCCAGGCCCCAGTCTGCTCTCTGGGCCAAGAGCAAAGAAGGGCCCCGGGTCTCATCCCAAAGAGAACAGCTTTGTCCCCCCACTGGATCAGAAGCCACCTGACAAGAGGCTCAGTTAGGAGTCTCTCCTGCAGCCTCCCCGACACCGACTCTTCAGCACGTGACGGGGCTCAGGGGGCATCTGCGCTTTCCAGGCACCCCCGTTTTCAGGCACGGGGGGCTTCTGCTGCTCAGACCCTGTGTGGGCAGGACATGTGACCACTTCCTGCGAGGGGGGAGAGGAGCCCGGCCTCCAGCCCCACCTGTGCACCCCAGCAGGCAACTGGGCAGCAACACCACCCCAGCCTGACCACAGCGCGCAGACCCCTGCTTGCCTGCGATGGACATAAACACGCTGCTGGGGCTTAAGCACTGTTTGTTACCAGAGCACCACTGGCCTATCCTGGGCGGCCCTGGAGATGCAGGGCCGTGGCTGGAGACGCATGGTAGGTGCAGGTCTGTCACACCATTAGTGGACAGGCTGCTGAAATGATGGTCAGAGGAAGCAGAGACAGCGGGGATCAAACCAGGCATCTGACTGCAGTAAAGCCAGAGCCGAACGAGAAGCAGAACAATGACAGACTTGAGAGAGAGACCGCTGAAGCCAGCAGGACTGGCTGGCCCCAGGCCTATCGCCGCAACTCCAACTCTGCGGCGGCCAGGGGACCCTCAGGCAGGAACGCTGCCCTGCTCCTGGCCCCTCGCACAGAGGCCTCCCTCCCCACCACCCACTGCCCTGCCTCGGGGCCACCTTGAGCGCCTTGCCCTGGAGTTCGTCGATGATCCCACGGATCTTGCCCAGCAGGAAGGGCCAGGAGTTGATGAGGTAGATGCGGTCCATCATGATGGCGATGATGCTGTACCAGCGCTGGAAGCCCCGGGCCAGGCTGTCCTTGATGAAGAACGTGTGGCTGAACACAAAGCCGTGCTGCTCGTCCCCAAAAAAGATGGGGCCCTCGCGGCCGGGGCACACCTGAGACACAAGGGTAGCGCTGCAGGACACCGCCCTCTGCGTGCTGCAGCACTCAAACCCTCGTGCTCACTCTTCTTTCTGTGCTAATTAATCAGCATCAGTTACAGGGAGAGTGGAAAGGATAGGGATGAGAAAGGAAAACTCTGCTTTCATCTCTCCTGTGACCGAACTTCCTAAAGAAAACGTTCGTTACCATGAAACCCAAGGACCAGTAGGTTCGTTAATTTTTCTTACCTTGAGTCATAAATAACTCGTATACAAGTATTATATCTACCCCAGGCTCAGATTTGCCAACATCACTCATCTGGAACATACCAGAGAACTGGCAAGTCAAAACAGCCACTGCAGAGTGCACGTAATAAAAAATCTGCATATGTTATGTGTAGGAGAGAACGTGGGTCTCCCTCACACCACACCCACTCTTACACACAACCCCACCAGACACGATCAGCTGCCCACCAGCAGGGGCACAGCCAGGCGGGCACATGGCAGCAGTGAGTGAGGATGATCAAGTGGGGCAGTGACAGGAAGTGTGAGCGACTAGACTGTGAACTCTCTGTGACAAAGACACAGAAGCTAAGACAACTTGACAACGGCAGCCATGTGTCTTAGAAACACAGACTCACGCCTCGGTTGGCTAAGAGAGCACGTGATGAGCACTGAGGCTCTGACGTGACAGAGACGACAAGAAGGTGACATCTGATGGGAGCCACACACCTACAAACACTTCACACCTTAGTAACACGTCCACGAAGAACGAGTAATGAAAGCCTGGTGCTTAAAATGGTAAGTTAGCAACGAACCAGGGTGCAACGTGACTCACTCCGGGACCTGCCCGGCCATCTCCAGGCTGCTGTCTGCCTTCCTTCCCGTAACCGACACCGAGCTTGCTCAGGGCGTGCTGGCGTGCACGTGAGCGACTCTCGCAGAGGCCCCGGGTCACGGGTGCTCACCTCACAGCTCAGGCTCCGCACACAGGCCTGGCGGACGATGCTGAAGAGCTGGGGGTGGTTGGGGTGCTGGTGACTGACGTACTTGATCGAGGTCTCCTTGTCATGGCTGATGTATCCGGGATGCCCTGCAGCAAGTGACCGGCAGCCCTGCCCACGAGAAAGAAAAGAAAACCAGTTAGCCAGCAACACGCTTGCTGACTCTTATGCAAACCTCAAGCAGAAAATTCAATCTGTTTTCACATAAAAACAACCAGCTCCGGGGCTTCCCTGGTGGCGCAGTGGTTGAGAGTCCGCCTGCCGATGCAGGGGACACGGGTTTGTGCCCCGTTCCGGGAAGATCCCACATGTCGCAGAGCGGCTGGGCCCGTGAGCCATGGCTGCTGAGCCTGCACGTCCGGAGCCTGTGCTCCACAACGGGAGAGGCCACAACAGTGAGAGGCCCGCGTACCACAAAAGAAAAAAAAAAAAAAAAAACCCAACCGGCTCCTAGAGTTATACTTGACTAAGGATTTCCATGTTTCCCGAGTAGGAAAGTCAGGATGCACACATCACAAAGGTCGTCAGAGGGCATCGAATCTACTGAACACAGAGGTCACTGGACCTCATCTACTGGCACTTACGCAGCAGGGATCCCGAAGAGCTCTGTACCCATCACCTCACCTAATCCAAGGAGCAAACCTGTGAGACAGTTAGCAGGAGAATCCCCACCTCACAGGCGGCAAAACTGAAGCCCGGAGCCTCCATCCTCGATCCGGGCACGACCACTTGGCAGGGACCTCGTGCCAAGGGAGGCTGCCACACTCTGGCACTGGCGTGGCCGCCTGAGAACACATGCTCAGAACCCCTGCCATGGGGAAGGGACCGGACCGGCGGCCCTGGCTGCTACCCCTCTGAAGCCACCGTCACGTTGGCGCCAAGGCTGTAAGCCCCGGCGGCAGCCCCCAGCCTGGGACTGCGCACAGAGGCCCCAGAGCCAGCCCCTCCCTGGGCGATGCAGGACGCCTCCCAAGGCCATTCCAGCTCAAGGACCCGCCCCCAAGGCACCCACCGCGCAGGCCTCCTTCCTGCCTGCCTCTCCATCACAGGCAGCGGCCGTTCACAGCAGAGGGCCCTCACCACCTCTGCTCCCCACCCTCGATCCCTCACAGTCAATCAGTCAAGCTCGAGCTCAGCGACTGCTTCTCAGTGGAACGAAGCTAACACTGCTGGATTTTTGTCCACCCTGTAGTGACAGGTCCAATGCCACCCTGATTTCCAGTCCCGACCCAGGGCTCCACGTGAAGAAGCAGCCTGGTGCGGGGACCTAACCTTCATCCCCCAGAGCTCACGAAACGGGCAGGGTGCCCGCGAGGAAGACGCCAGACTGAGCGGACGGGAGCCGAGAAGGCAGCGCATGGACACGAGTGAGCGAGGCGAAGCCGGAAGGGCAGGCCCCACGGTGGTGGCCAGCGTTGGCTGGCCCAGGGTGGTTTGAAAAACCTAAAGCTGGGACGAAGGGAAAGGACCAGAGGGAAGGCAAGAGCAAGCGCACACCACACGGCCCCACGCCCGTGAGGCCACGCCCACGGCATGCGGCCTCCTGTCCACCCCCAGGAGGTCAAGCCCGAGCACCGGCGGAGCAGAAACGCCCCCAACGCCCCAGGAGACACTGGCCTCGCACATGTCCGACTTCTTGGGCCCCGGGCTGCTGGACTCCGCGCTGGCCCCTTCCGCCGGGCTGTGGGCGCGGAGGCGGCTGCTCATCTGGATGCCGCCCTCCTCTTCCTCAGCGTGCTCGCCCCGGCCGGGGCCGTCCCCGCTCCCCGCCCCTTGCGGAAGCGGGGCGTGCAGGACCTCTGTGCAGAAGAGCGTGCGGGGGCCATGGAGCTCGCAGAAGTGACAGAGCGCGACGATGGCATTCATGGCGCCCTGGAGACTGTGCCAGGCCTGCTGGGGAGAGGAGGGAAATGCCATGAGCTGGCCCCAGAACCTGCCGGCTCCGGAGCCCAGCGACCTCTACTGTCCTCAATGGGCTTCTGTCCAGCAGAGGCAGGTCACCCAGCCAGGCAGCACTGCCCAGCACCCACTCTGGGCCAGCACTGCATCGGCAGCAGGGGACACAAAGCAGACACCGTCCCTGTCCACGAGGAGTTAGGACAAAGAGGGGAAACATAACACGGGATCACACTGAAACCCTTCGGTCAGAACCGTGCCGGCAGGGCCACAAGGTGGGCAGATGGGGACACACACACACACACACACACACACACACACACGCCGCCCTGGGGGCATCTGTTCCATGGACAGCAGTGGAGCGGCTCCCGTGTGCCGGGCGATGTTTCAGGTGATGTGATGCTGCCTCACGGAGCTTACCTTCCAGGAGGGCAGGGACATGCGGCACACCGTTCCCTCTAGTGCAGTGACCGCGTTAGGGAGACAGGGACAGGGGTCCAGGTCAGAGAAACACTGGAGGAGGGGGGATGTAGTTGCGGACAAAAGGGCTCCCAGGTGACAGCGGAAGGAACAGAGGGCGCCACGGGGGCCGAGGAGGGGCCGTGACGGGGTCTGAATGTCTGCAGAGCCGGGGGGTGAGGGCAGAAGACAAGCAAGGTGGATTTTAGGGACCCATCTAGGCCATGGTAAGACCCTGAACTTTTCTTCAAGGATCAGAGAACCTTTGGTGGGTTCTGATGAGAAACACAATAAATAAGAATGCTATCTTAAAAGGTCGTTCTGGCCACTGTACAGAAGCCAGGGCAGACGCACAGAAGCGAGCTGGCCTGGGCCAGGTTAGGCGGGGGAAGGCGCTGACGACCGTCAGAGCGTGAGTGTGTCCCAAAGAGATATGCAGACGCTGCTCACAGGCAGACTGTAGAGCACAAAGAAGGAAGCGGGGGACGTGGGGGATAGGAGAAGGCAGCCGAGAGCAGCACCTACTAAGCCTCCAGTGGAGATGATGATGACAGGCCACGGGAGATGGGAGTGAGGCAGCCAGGGCTGGGGGACCTGGGCCCCAGAGCTCAGACATGGGAGGGAGGAAGAGCTGGTCAAGATGACAAAGGAGGACAGGCAGTGAGGCGAAGTCCAGTATCACTCCGGAGACCACGTGAGCAAAATCGCCCCAGAGGAGGGCAGCAGAGGGCGGGGTGGGCGTGGCAGGGACGCAGGCGCACTGCCCTCTGCGGGGAAACCTTAAAGGTGGGACGTCTGTCCACTGGGCTCCAGCAGTGGAGAAACAGAGGCTGGACAGTGACCGCCCAGCCGACGTGACACGTGTGACACAGCAGGGCCTGGGAGCCAGGCTAAAGTGGGAGCAAGTCTTCTCCAGACCACAGCATCCAAGACAGTAGCTGGGAGCCACGTGTGGCAGCTCAGATCCAAATTAACGACGATGAAGAGCCCCCCTCCTGTCTCACCAGCCACATGTGGCTCGCGGCCGCCATTTTTAAAGGACAGCACAGACCATGGGAAGGACATTTCTATCACCACAGAAAGTTCTCTTGGACAGCCGTGCTCAAAACAGTGAAGGACAATTTCAGTTACCGACGTCTGACTGCGTAGTGGACACCGGCAGGATCCACCACCGGAGAACGCCAGCCCCCATTACAGAATCAAAGGTCAGACATGCTCTGTGCTCACCCCCTGGTCGGCAGGCGCAGGCCTGAGCATGGCCTGGCCAGTCAGAGGCACCTGCTTGGGACGCTGAACCCGGAGGACAGAGGCAAGGCAGCAGACAGTGTGAACACGCACGGCGGGGAGTCCGCGGAGCGGGTCCCGGGGAGCGGCACCCTCGCCCACCGGGCCCGGCGGGTCCCTCCACGGGCCCTCGAGAGGCCTCCCGCTGGCGGCCACACTCGGAGCCACTTCGCTACCCGCCTGCTCGCTCTGCCACCACCCGATGTCTGCGGTCAACCACTCAGCTGACGTGGGCCGCCCACCTGCCCGCACAGGCTAGTAGGAGCGGCAGAGGCCAACCCAAAGGAGACATCGGGGGGTCAGACAGGGGACAGGAGGGGCAGCTGGAGGCCATGGCGAGCCAGGGCACGGAGGGCTCCCGGAGGGAGCTGAGCAGTGGGACAGAAGACAGTTTAAGACAGGAGGACATTTAGCTGGAAGACCTTGAGCTCCATGGAGATTCTAACAGCAGAGGACCAGGAGGGCAGGGCCGGGGAGAAAGGCCCTGAACGCCGCCCCCAGCCCTCCAGCAGCTCACTCCTCGCGCGCGGCCTCTCCCTGCACGCCCCCTGCTCAGAGAGGGCCCTCAGCAGTACTCACACCCAGCCACCTCTCTCTAAGCTCCCGACACACAGTGGGCACCAAACTGACGGGGGGTAGACAAGTGAATTTAGGAGCTGCCTGGAGAGAGGACAGTTGTTGCCACAGAAAGGGGAATGCTCGTGGATGATGTCAACACGAACCTCTATACCCAGCAGGACCACAGAGCCACCAGCCCGCCCAGGTGACAGCCAGCAAGGCCATTTCCAAACGAGTCAGGCAGTGCAACGGCGGTCAATACCTCAGCTCTAAGACCTGACGCTTTCTAGGTAAGGTAAAAAAATCAGAGCCAATTCTAAGAGCAGTGGGCACGGGGAAAAAAAAAATGCAAGCAGCTTACAGCCAATCTCAAACGAGAACATCACACAGAGGATGTGGTTCTGAATGGTTGAGCAGGCCACTTGCCTTGTAAGCAGCAGGCGACAGAAAGCTGATGTGGTCGAAGTCTACAGCCATGTTTCATAAAAGAGCCCTTGTGATACAGATATTTATATTTATATTTAAATGTCTACATAAAACATAAGGTATTTAAAAATATGAAGTACTCATCCCTCCTGCTCTTGGTTATAAGGGGGCAGCACCCACATCATGCCCATTTAACCCTTCCGACCACAGGCCCACCCTTACGTGGGAAGGAGAGAGCAGAGGTGATGTTGCTAAGTTACTTCCCGTGGGACAGGCTACTCTTACTTTGCTTTAAATGGGAAGCACTCCGGTCCGACAAGAGTTCTGACTCTTGAGATCAGGGGTGCCACAGCCTAGATAAAACTTAGCTCTCCAGACCTGCGCATGCGGAAAAACGTCTGTCTCCAGCCCAGAGCAACCAGGTGACCTCTGACAGGTCCAAATGCCTCTCTCGGCACCAGCCTAAAGCTGAGCCCCACAGGCCTGGGAGGGAACTACGGCCCGTGGCACCCAAACTCAGGCAGCATGAGGCCGGGTCTCCACTCACTCTCCGATTCCAATCTCTCTCTACCGGATGCCCAGCAGTCCTTCCTTTCCAACCAGCCTTCCAGAAACCAAGAGGCAGAAACCCTCCCCCGCCCGACAGGCTCAACATTACACCTTGAAGGGTAGGGTCCTGTCCACGCCCCCTCCCATCGCGACAGTGACGTGGGCACGACGCCCTCCCGCGGTGCACCCTGGCCCGGGTCCCTCTACCCCACTGCGGTCCGCCCAAGGACCACGGAGGTTAAGGATGCGCTGAGCACGGCAGCTCTCGACCCGCATCAGACACGCTGCAGCTCCCCGACGGCGGCCCGGCCTCGTGCACGGGGGACAGGCGTGTGACACCCGAAGTCACCGCGGCGTCGCGCCACTGTCACTCAACCACTGGTAACCTGGCGCCTCAGCATGTCCTCTCGGAGACCCGGGTCCCCCGGCCACTCCGAAGGCCCCCGCAGGGCTGCCAAGTATCCCCGCGCTGAGGACCCAGTGCCTCCGGCCGCGCGACCCACCCCTTCCGCAACCAGGCCGCGCCCGACCGTACCCGCCATACTGGTCGCCCCCTCAGCTCCAGGGTCGCCGGACCCTGACACCCCGCCCCTCAGCCCGGCCACCCCGGCCGCCGGGCTCTGCCCCCCTCACCCTGGACCGCGCGGCCCGACTGACCGGACAGGCCGGGGAGCCGCCCTGGCGCCAAGCTCCAGGTCGCGTCGCGTCGCGTCGCGTCGCGTCGCGTCGCGCCCCGCTCCTGGGTCTCCGGCCCTCCCCCACTCCCCACTCCCTCGACTTCCCTCCGGCTTCGCGGAGTGGCTCCCCTCACCGTGTACCCTCACAGATCCGCCGCGCCCGCCTCGGGGCGCGTGACTCGGCCGGGAGGTACCACCGCCCGGGCCGAGGAGGGGGAGAGGGCCGTCCGACGCCCCCACCCCGCGAGGCGCACGGAGCCCCGCCAGACTCGCAGCCCGGGAAGACAGCACGAGCCCAGCAGCTCCAAAGTCCGGCGGAACGCTGCAGCAGCTGCCCGACCCCCTCCGCCGCCCCAGCCCGTGCCCCCACCGAGAAGCCCGGAGTGGTTCCGCCCGCGCGGGCGGGGGCGGCGGAGGAAACCATTCCAGGAGGGGGGAAGGATGCTTTAATTAAAAAAAAATTTTTAAAGAGATTTGAGGAAAAATATATCTATCCTAGGACTCCCAGTCCACACCGAAGGAAGAAATAAAGAGAACGTCGCGACGTTATAAAGGACGCTGTAATTCCTTTTGGTTTCACCGTTAGTTTTCATTAAATTTCCGATGGAACCAGTCTTCGGTGGAACGTGCGGGCAGGGGGCGGGGCGGGAGACGTTCGCCCGGTGACGCACGAACTGCGCGACGCCGGGGAAGGCGGGGTGGGGTGCGCATGCGCGACTGACTCCCTCTCTTCCTTACCCAGCAGCGCGTCAAGTTTTTTAGAATAAACGTAGTTATCGAGTGATAATCTTCTTGAACCTGGGCGCCTTTTATTCAGCCTGTGTACTTAGAGGTCAGTCCGAAAGCCCTCAGGGCGTGATGTGACGTGGCCGAGGGCGAGGCCGAGGGCCGCTGGTTGACTTGCGGGGCCGCTTCTCTCTGGCTCATGAATTTTACTGAGTTTGCCAAATGCTCTTTGAAAGCCTTAGTGGCAAGGTTCCAGAAATGTCTGCAGCCTCCTAGTATGTCTGTGCCTTTCCAATTTGTAAAAGAAAACAT